CAAGGGTAATGATAACGGCGGGGCAAGGTTTTATTAAATTACACGGATATTCATATCGTGACCATCTACCTTAAAGACAGAGCTTACATTAGCGCGTTTAATGATGGAACGAAAACTATTGCTCACGCGTGTTAATTAACGTGACCGAAACAAAAATGAGTAACCTAATTTTGATGAAACAATAGCGTCTCGTAAATGTCTCGCGCTTTGAATTATTCAACGATCCTTTATCTCGCGCATGAAAGAGATTAGTCTTACTGGGAAGGGGCGGATTTGCTTTTGTGCAGCAATTGTACGCGTGGGATTTGCATCTAAATATGTCTCGTTCGGTGGTACCTTGCGCTTCTTATCGCTTCTATCTACCTTAACTTTTCCATTGATACCGATCGCGCTTCGTATAAGGGAATAGCGTAGCAGACAGATGTGCTGTGACACGCTGCAGTTGTAAATCATCGTAATGTGACAGCGCATACAGCGCAAGAGGCAATCTCTTCGATTAGCCTTGATCGAGCCACGATATTAAGGTAAATAGCTGTCATCGTTTCATCGTTACTCCCGGCACACGCGACGCTATATATTGCAAGAAATAATTATTAAATTACTGTAAACTTCGCAGAATCGGCGATCATGTATTTTGCGCTTGTAAATACCATTAGCTTCGTAATAGTTTTAAGATTTATCATCGGCGATATTTCTAAGACATTTAATTAATTCCCGTTACACATGGAACGAATTATTTCTACTAGTTTTCTAGCTAGATTACTTGCTTGTCTTGTGAAGTAGCACCAGCGAAAAACCGCAACGCGCAAATATGGCAACTCGCAGTTTCGTAAGCCCGTTTTGCTCCCGTTTCAATTTGCTCGGAATTGAACCTGCAGTTCGAGCATGAAGCGTTCGCGCTGTCTTCGTTTGGCAAATTGATATTCGAAAGCGTAATGCTAACATTACGCCTTAGACACGAAAAATAATTTTGCGACACCTGCGTCAATTCGTTCGAAAAACTATTGTCCACTTAGACGCGCGGGGATCGTAAATTTTAACACAAATTATAGTAAAACATCAGAACGATATTTTTAATCTATATTCGAGGGGTAAACCGCCGAGGGCATTGTGATGTACAGATTTGCGGCATTGCTAGGCGCACTAGTTTGGGCATTAAGCCTTGTCGGGGCATTATAAAGATAAGATATTAAGATAAAGTAATGCCCACTGGGCATTAGTGGGCATTGGTGTACAAGATTTTGGTCAGCAGTCTCTCCCTCGTCTATATTCTAGGCAATCAACATTATATGAATCTTAGTCTTTTAACTTAAAAAGATTATACGTGTATTCTTCATATTTTTAAAGATCTGTTGATTTTGGAACGGGTGTGCTATTCTTGCACTCACATTTTTGAATTGTTTAGTCGGACAGCAGGGATTTCTTTTTAGATATCCGGTTTTCCGTATACACAAATACTTTCAGATCTCGGTTAATTTCCGGACACTCGACAGCACTCTCCGGGATCCCTCTGATTTCATCCGAGCTATTCGTCAACGCCGCGTCTCTCCCGCGTGGTTCGTATATTTTAACGAAGCAAGAAAACTAGGAAACGTAGCGCAGTACTTCCGTATATCAAATCGGACACGGTCTACCATCGGGATAATCCGATGGCACCCGCGGTGCGCCAAATGGAAACACATCCCGTGCGATTCCATAAATCTTCGCCGGCGCCGTCGAGCGCGCGCGGGGGACAGCTGTCGTAATTAAAAAAGGAAAAAGGACAACAAGTGGCAAAATATGCCGCCGAACATGTCCGAGATCGTGCAACATCCTCCTATTACGAGCCTCGCGAATATGGGCACTAACGCCGCGAATTGATCGCTGTTGCAAAAACCGTAATAATATGGTACGTCGACCGCTGATAAATATAAATCGTAACGATCTTCTTGCCGGACTTTCCGTAATCGCGCGCGGCACAAGAGAGGATGCGATAACGCCCCCCTCCTCCTATCTCCGGTTTAATATACCTCCTATTAATGTTCAATCGAGGATACGGCGACTTCCACGCGATCGTCAGGCCGATATTTTGCACGAACCTCTGAGCATTACACGCGTCACGCGTCATTTCGCGCTCGGCATTAAGTATCGAATAAGGGGTAACCCGTTAATGTGATGTGGGACAAATACAGCCACGATCTCTTAATGAAATCATGGTTGGCGGCAGTGTATCTTCATCCACTGTCCTATAATAACTAGCAACGATTAAGATAAGAGCAGTCGTTTCGCGTGGAGGAAAGTTTCATTGACGTTTCTTGGCTCTCGCATGCAAAATTACGACATCACAGCGGTTTCCTAACTGGGAAGTAAATACATGTGTAAGAAGTGCATTTCTGTCTACTTATACTTTCATGTCCGAGGATAAAAATATCAAGAAATTTATTTGCGCGTAGTTTAATATGCTTCAACAAAAGCGGACGTTTACTATATACTTTTACAGAAAGCTACGGGAACGACGTTGCGATATTTACCGCAAAGATTTGTGTTTTTATTACGATCGTAAAAAAGGTGGAAAATCACTTTTTAGGGAAAGTCTAAGTGAGGTATTCGGTTTTCCATTCGTCACCATTTGCGACAAGTCGATTGTCACCCGACGAGATAGAATATATAGTCAACGGAGCACGATACTATTTTTCCTACTGAATTGTTTGCGAGAGCCAATTTAGCCTTAAGTCACCTGATCTAACAACTTTGCGTCCTTATTGATTCTCGTAAGCAATCCAGTAGGAAAAAAATAGTATCGTGTGCCGTTGGCTTAACTCTTTCGTTATTTAAGCCTAGTCTACAATGTGCTCTCTGCGTCTAGAAACATTCTATTTTGTAGTCAATAAATACGTTTAAAAAATTTGTGCAAGGTGATAAATTGTATATTACACAACGTTTTAAGCGTTTTTGATCTGTTTGTATAAAATAGAATGTTTCTAGATGCAGAGCGCACATTGTAGATTAGGCTCTAGCGAATAAGGGACAACTTCTTTGTCATTCGGCAAATAATTTGCATCGGTTGGGAGACGCAAAGCTCCGAGTGGATTAAGATTCGTAACATGTTCCAGATGCAATTATAAAGTCATCATATATCAACAGCGTCAAATCTCTCATTCCGCAATCAGAACGTATAGTTTTACCGTTAATGGCGCCAAAATGACTTTGCGACCGAGGAGAACGTCCTCGGCCAGACATGTAATAACTTATACCCAGCGTGTGTTCGCACGCTAATTATTCCTTCTACCCCGCTCCAATTATCGCCGATTATGAGAAAAGAAATACGTTATAATGATTGTCAGGCACCGTAAGACGTAATGGATGCATTCGTGTTTAATAAATACACGTCTGCGAGGTGGAATCGTTCGCGACTTGGCGCGCGCGTGGCGCAACGAAAACGAGCGCACGAATTCGCGTTAATTAAATTCCCTCCGCCAAATTAACGGACGCGCCTCGTGCCGGGATGATCGCGGAGGGAAAAAAAAGGCACGATGACGGAGCATCGTAATTGCGCGGTATTCAATTCGCGAGCGCGGCTTTTACGCTTTTACCGCGGTGGCAAAAAAAAGCACTTAATTGGCGATAATTTCGCGGCGCACCTGTTAACTCTCTCCCTGTATCTCTCACCTCTTTCTGGACTCCGAGTCTCGAAGCCTAGCTTCTTTCTTACAGCTACGAAACATCCTTTTTACACGCTATTGTAATTTATCTTCTTCCGTGTTTCTCCTCGCAAGAGTTTACGAATAGCAGCCGACTGCCGATAATTCTCCTTCCCCAGTTTTCTCCGCTCGCAATTTCGCCCCGCGAAATCCCAATGAAAATCGCATCCGATGATCCCGCGAGAGCAATTGGCGGCTTTTTGCCGAAGAGCTATCGCCGGAGTGCCGCGAGCCATCGGGCCCATTGCTGGTACGGCACGCGAGAGATCGCGAAAGAGAAGCGCGACCCGGTTTACAATGCGTCTCGTTACGATGTCTGGTATCGCAGAGGTACACACCTCCAAAAGATAATAAAGTACCGAGAAATACGATACGAGAACATGCTCTCACGGCGTCGCAAAGCGAAGCCTCGTTTACAATCTTCTCGCACGATAAAAATTGTGAATGTACGGCGGGAAGGCGTGACTTGCAAAAGATACATTTTAGAAAATATTTCAGCGCAATAATCGCATTACTTTACCTCGTCGAGAATCCTCGGGTTTTTGAAATTGTTTGCCAGAGGAAGATTTTACGGCGCAGATAAGATTAACAGTGTCAATATTCCAACTCGTTATCTGTTTATTTCAAAATAACTGAAAAATTGGGTATTTCAATGGCAGACTTCTTAAAAAAATAGTATAACGCATTGTTTTACAAAGGGTCATAAAACATGATGCTATCATTTCAGGCACTTTCCCTATTCAGATAAGTTGATGAGAGACTTTCCCTATTCGCATAGATAAGCTATTTAGAAAGTCTTTATTCGAGGATTCACCTGATGGGCAAATGTCCAAATTCGCATTATCTGCGGTTTACCCAAGATAATCGAGGGTCTGATACCCGCCAATTGGAGTAATGGACGGATAGAAACCTAAGCATAGGGATTACGCGGTTTATGCAGGACAAAATAACATTATCCTTTCCAAGAAATTAAATTAATTTGAAGAAAATTTAAAAATACGCCCCCTCTCTATTTGTTGAACAAAAGATTTCAAGTTTGTCTTTTAAATATTTAAGTGTCAACTTCCTATTTCTAATAACTTTTTAGTTTACCCTTCAACTATCTACATTCTCCTTCATTCAACTCGTTCATTCAACCTTTTCATCATCAGGTTGTATAGAAGCATAATACAGAACTATTTTCTTCCTCGAGACCGGGCGAAATAGAAAGAACGAGTTCGGAGCGAGTAAAATCGGAGGGGAATCCGGGTCGAAGGCATTTCGAGAATTACAACACCTTCTCGTCCCTCGTCACGCAAGTGAACGCCGCTCGACACTCACATAGCCAGACGTTGCCGCGGGGCGCCGTGTGCAGTAGGTTGAGGTGCAGGTTAAAATCCAGACCGGCTAGGTCCTGTCGCAGGTGGGTGCTGTCCATGCCGAGAGCACGTTCCGGCAGCAGGAAGAGGTGATCGCTTCCCTCCGCGGGCCCCAGGGTTCGCGGCACGCCGAGCCCGAGAGGCCCCGATCGGGCCGTCAACATCCTACCGCCAGGCTCAGCCAGGATCGCGCCGCGGTGCGTAGTCGCATCCTCTTGCGACCCCTCGACGCCCGACACGCTGAACCGCGACGGAGACCCGTGACCTTTCCGCACTGCGGATCGGCTCGTAACAGGTGGCACGTGACCGCCTTTGCTAACAGCCCCCGTCTTCGGGCACTTAATCCTGATATCGGCAAGTTAACGCGCGTCGCCCGGCCTTGTCGAGGTGACGGGGGAGTCGAACGAATGCGACTCGCGATACGAATCAGTCGCAGGAATGTTGAACGCAGCAGCTTCTAGAAATCACTGTCTTCTGTCATCGTGGGAGATCTTCTCTGTCAAGTTTAATTAGAAGAATACGAATGGCTCGAGTGACGATTGTTGCAACGCACGTCCTGGCAAGCCTCGCTCTTTTTCAATTCCCTCTTCTCCGACTCGGATTAATCCCCGGCTGATTCACGTTAAAGACGAGACACGCGTCAGCGATGAACGGAGTTTCGCAGTCATAGACTTCTTTCGTAATGCGATCCCAAGCTGCGATCGACGACGTGTTAACAACGCGGTATCATACGATCGTTGTTCTTTTCTCGACGGTGAGGCGATAAGACCGCGAGAAACGCACTCGCGATCACACGATGCGACAATCACCACAGCTCGAGAATGACTCGTAATCCCGTGAGTCACGTCGGTCAGTCAACTTTCGACGTCGCGCGTCGACGACGGAGAGAAAGAAAGAGGGGAGGAGGAGGAGGGAGCACCGGGGCCGATCTTTCGCCGCGTAAAGTGGCACGAATTGTCCGAACGGGTCCGCTCGTTAAATTCGTTTAAGAGACGCCGAGACCCAAACCCCCCGCGCGCTCGGAGCGAGTTTCGTAAGGCCGATCTCCCGCTAAGCCTCGACGCGAGAGAGGGATCGAGACGCGCTCGTTCTCGCGACGAGACACGCGACTCCGCGGCTCCGCGATTTGACAGCTCGCGACAGACACCAATAACGCGCCGTTCGCCGACTCCGACCTTGCCGCATCCCACGCAACCGTCAGCTGTGCGCTATCTGTTTCGCCGCAGGCGGACTTATTCGATGCACACCGTCGCCGGCGCGGCCTTCCGCTATTTACGCAGCGCGCGGGATATTAATTAATTCCGCCCACGTTCCTCGCCGCTGTCTCGACGACGTGGTCGTCCCGGTGGCGTTTCTTCGAGGGATTTGACAGCTCGCGCGACGAGTCAGTCGACGGAGCCTCCCGGTGACACCGGACGAACGCGATCCGCTCTCGTCGCTACGTGGAACAAGTAACGCGGAGCCTGGACCGTCGGTCTGACGGCTCGTCTAACAGCTGGACCTCGACAGCCGGCGGTACTCGTGGCTGCGTGGCTGGCACGAGGTTCTCTCAAGAGCGGTCTCACGTACACGGCGGTCAGCGTTCGACTGAGTGGGTCCGTCTCGCCGCGTTCACGAGCGACACCGACGGACGTCGGAAACGACCGACAGGGCGCCCAGAGAGATACAGCGCGGGCGGACAGATGCGTTTTCCGCGCCGGGGGAGACGGAGCTCCCCGCGCGCAGAAAAGCTCAACCCGATCCCACGTGCACGCGCGAACCGAGCTTGGTCGCTCGCGTTGCGTCGTGCGAGATTCCACCCGAATGCCACGGCGAATCTTTACTCTCCCTGAGAGAGAGAGAGAGAGAGAGAGAGTAAAGATTCGTTGTGGCATTCGAAGCATTTGCGGGCATCCCTGCGGCTAGAAACCGCGAATAGAAGCGTTTAGTGTTGATTGTAGTTTTACGACGGGCAGCAAAATTAGTCATTTTTACTAGCAACAATGCTCTACGTAATAATAGGTGTCTTTTGAAAATTAATTTCGAGGAATAATTTCACTCGGCGGAAAAATAACGCGAGAAGTGCCGCAATTGTCGCGCGATTCCTTCCGGTTGCGCGAGATTACGTAAAAGGAACGAACGCCTTTCGGCGTCGGACGAGCCAGTCGACCATTAAAATAGCTTTGGCCACGGCCATTTTCTGGGTCATAATCAGCGCAATTAGACGGCTTGGAAACCGTCTATAAAAGGGGATTATAAATTTGACCGCGGTAACAGAATAGTCTCCGCGGTCTGCATTCAAAGGCGATTCTACTTTCGTTTGTAACTTGCACCCAAACGAATTTAACTATTGTATATCGCTATCGTCGTTTTACATCGTTCAACCGCGTTGCTGGACTTTGCGAGTTGCCGTTAAAAAAACTTGTTACTTTGCATACGCCACTCCTTCCCCTCTTTAAATATGCGCATCATCCATGTCCATTAACGCGGCCGACGATTTGTGCGCGAGGAGCTGGCATAAATCGCAAAGAAACGTGGGTGCTAGACCCGGGCGAATGCGGAATCGCATTGTAAGAATATCGCGGCCGTACGTAAGAAACGGCTCTTGTTGCGGTTACGGTAATTTGCGGCAAGACCCTTTTTATCGCTGGAAAATGCACCTCACGAATATGCACCGAAACTACCGAGCATGCAACAAATCATTTCCGAGAACATCTCGCAGCACTTTATGCGGTCATTTCTTGCGGTTAATCGATTGTTCGTCTATGTTAATCGTTAATGACACATCTTTTTCCGAAATCTTTTTAAAAAATGGATTTTTTCCAGAGCAAAACTAGCAGTTTAAAGTAAAAATTAACAGAAAATATAATTACTTACTTTCTAAAAGTCAATAAGTGCATTATCACTGAAAACAATTATAAGTATAGTACTGAATTATTCAGTGCTGTTTTCAGTGAAAATTCACTGATTGACTGTTAAAGAGTACAGGACATACAATTAAAAAATTTTTGTAAGTTAGCTTACAATTATTCAGTGCTATACTTAAAGGAAAGTCCTATATTATGAGACAGGCTTCTAATATGAGATAGCAGGTTTTCAACATCAAAATTTAATCACAAATCTTTGTTCACAACGATTACACGGTCCAACGATGAATTTTCCACTAAACAGATTTCACTCCAAAGGCAATAAATTTACGATGAAACCAATAGATGATACCTATTAATTTGGCAAAAACCCTGCTATTTCATAATAAGGGACTCTCCTCTATAACTGTCAATCAGTGAATATTCACTGTTTTCAGAGATAAATCCACTGATTAATTTTTAGAGAGTAGATCCACACAGTTGAAAACTTTGTGTTTTCTTGTTAAAAAAATGCCGGTTAGAATTGCTGTGTTAAATGTTTAACACATTCATGTGTTAATGTAACATATTGCTCTTGTGTTAATTGACCTCAAACGTAAAATTATTAAAATAACTGAAAAAAACGTTAAAACAACGCAATGTGTACTTATCTTTAATCTGACGCAACACATATATTCTATATTATTAGTAACAAAATTTATCTATCAAAATTTACAGAATAAAATGTTGATTTTCTTCTATATAACATAAGTGAGAGTGATTTCGAACCGTCATTTGACTTATTAACTGATTTTTAAAATTCATTTTGTCATTAAAGATATGTTAATATTACACAAAATTTATTTCAAATTATTTTGAGATTTGCATTTATTTTGTGTTAAAATATTAACAGAATATTAGTGTGATCATTTATTAACATATCCATATTATGTTAAATTAACACACAAATGTGTGGACCGTTTGGGACATGTGATATCTGTTAAATTTAACACAAATTTTCAACTGTGCATAATTAAAAAATTTACAAACACAATCTACAATAATTCTAATCTTTGCAATATTGATTTTAACACGGTAGCTCCTTTTTAGCATATTCAATAGTTTTAGTAACGTGAATGATGAGATCGTGCACTCCTGGGGGGGGGGGGGATTTTATTTTTGCTAAGGATAAGCGGTGGAAAAAGCGTCCACAGGGAACAACGCGAGACGGCGCGAGTCAGTTGCAAAAGCACTGGAAAATAATAATCGTTACGTCTAACGGCTGCTCCGCTAGCCCAGACTTTCCTCTTGGATTTATTGGGTCACTTTTTTTTCTGTTGCTACGCACGCGCTACGCGTCGGAGACGCTACGCGCGCCGTCTCGACGGCGGCGTCGGTTCGCGGATAAACGGAGCCATTGGATTTTATTTGCGCGATGCTTCACGCAGTAATTCAGAGATCAGGGCCAATCGACTGCGACGGGAATTACAACACGATGCTTCTCCAGTGATAAAATTAACAAACCCGTTTAATGTGATAACTACTTTCATTTGATAACTGTCGTAAAATTACTGGAAAATTACAGTTATTACGTATATTGCTAGATGTCATGGTAATACATTACATGCAATGGAAATTCGTCAAGTTCGCTAAGTCTGTCTTAATTACGGGCTGTCATTTAGATAACTGCGTCTCTTGAACCTGGCGTTACTTTGCAATTTGTCAACATTAACACCGCAAAGTGTGAAAAATCTGTTTTCTCATTGTAATCTCTTTTCTCGCAAGACGCGGGGCCATTCTTCTTAATCGTCGTAACTTCGGGTTACACTATTAAAGTTAACAGGGAATTTATGTGAGACCGGGATTTATGTGAAAGAATTGTAAATTGTATTTTAAGTTTAGTCTGTTCCATGTGTTAGCTCGGTTGATTGTTAACTCGATGTAAAACATTCCTAACAAAGGGAAATATCAACAATACCTCGAGGAAATTTCTTCGACCGGGTTTTTATCATTGATTCACCATTACGTACTCGACGAACGTAGCGAGCCGCTTCTTGCGGCCCGATCTTCCGCGTGCGTGCCTCGTTTACGAAGTCATTCAAAGGACGATCGATGTCCCTGTATGGAGACTTCATATGCCAGGTTCACCAGATTCACCAGTTGGCTTTCCCAGATACAAGCGACACCGCGCCACCCGAGCACCAAGGACGGGCATTGATTGACGGAGATTACTTGTCACTTGTTACTAGCGAGAGCTCGTGTCGCATCGATTATCACACGTGCTCGTATCGGCCTCGTGAAGGGAGCAAAAGCCACGCGAATAAAAGATGCGCATAGATGACTTGCGATACGGACCTTTTGTTGTCACAATCCTGACAATGGTTTATGTAAAACCAACTTTTCTAAATTGTGTCTTAAAATATTTTTCAACATTTTAAACCAGAGTCATTGTACATATTCGAACGTGTGGAGATGCTACATTTATTAAATATAAACCGCATTGTACACGAACCGGAGCGCGCAGGTGGAAGATCAGGCCGCAAAAGAGGAGAACGCAGATGTAGGCTTGATAGCGATGAAAATTTGAGGAGCGATGGCTGATTGCCGAACCGTTATTTTGGATCCTCGAAACGTTCTTATAATTCACGACAAGATACAGAGGAAGAAAAGACGTTTACTGGGACGTGACAGCAATTCGTGATACACTAGTCCAAAAATAATCTGTGCCACTTACACTAATTATAAACCCACCTCGCAGGAAATTCACAGGAAGCATTCACAATTTCGTTGAAAAAAAATAAAATCATGAATTTAGTTGAGCAATCAAATCGCCCTATTTTTTAATTGAATTTATTAACGTTACGTATGAGATATAACTTCGTGATAATGAGACAATTGTAGCGATAAATTGCATTAATGAGATATGAATGTTTCATTAATCATTCGACAATGCAATATCGTAAACTAGAGATGTGAAATAATCATAGCGTAACAGTGAAATAATCATATCGTACCAGTGAAGGTCGATTAAATTACGATATTAATTCCGGCAATTTAATTGATCATTAATCATACGTAAAATAAAAGGCCAGTGGAAAAGGCAAGAAGAGAGATCGCTCGCTCTTCCTACTTGTAAAGCAATTATAGTACTTCGAACTTTAAACTCACGTCAGCAAAGTGACATGCCGTTCTGAACTAACGTTATAGCTAATAGACATATTAAGAACTTTTTCCAATGGAGCACGTAAAAGCGCCTCCGTCCCGCGCTAAATGTCACGATATGAACGTGGTTAGTCGGGATCAGCTTTCCGTGAAAGACAATCCTTTCTTCGCGTGACGGGAAGTCGGATTGACGCGTCACAAATTGCGTCACCTCCGTCGTGCTTTCTCCCGCGAATGATTGTTCAACGAGGATACGGCAGGCGCGTGTCTCAATGTCGCAATTTGCGCGTTCTACCGGCGGCCAGCGACGAAACTACCTCTCTCGTTTCCCATCGCCATGACGTGCCGTTTTCCGCGAGCGTTCCGCGAGTCTCGCGACGCGGCTTTTCCGAGGGCGGTCGTGACTAGAGACCCTGTAATCAGAGACTGGCCATAAGAGCTCGTCAACGATCGTTACGATCGTTACGAAGAGCGAGATAGCCTATGTTTCTCTCTCACTCGCAGGAAGTTGACGAACTCTTATGTCCAGTCTCTGATTACAGGGTCTCTAGTCGTGACGAAGCTCCAGCAGCATCGCGG